CGGGCCGGGCCGGGCCGGGGCGGGCGCGCGCGAGTCCAGCGGGTCCTTCCCCACCTCCGTCCCCACCCACGCCGCGGGCTCGGGTCGGAAGGTGACCCTCTGCGCGCCCCCCGCCGGTTCCCTCGGGCGACGACTCCGCCGAGGAGGCTGGGGCCCTGGAGTGCCCGGAGTTGGGGTGTCCGGGACATGGGGGTGTCCGGGACGTGGGGCGTCCGAGACGTGGCCCGGGGAGCGGGGGAAGCGGGCGCCGGGAAGTGGGGTGTGCCCGAGACCCTAGGGTGCCCGAGATGTGGGGGTTGACGGGGACCCCTCCGGAGGACGGCGGTCAGCCGAGGAGGAGGGGGCGGCGGTGCGAAGGCCGGGGGAGGGGGCGTTTTCCACTCCCCTCCCCCACTCTCCCCTCCACCCCCCACCCCCCACCCTCCCTCTGTGTTCGAGTCTGTGTGCTGATTGTCCTGTAGGCCGCCGCGAAACTTCTTTGTTGACTTTGAAACTTCGCGGAACACCCCGCGGTCCGGGGTGACTGCCCAGTGGACTGAACTGGCCTGACCCCCCACCCCACCCCCGTTGGAAAACCTTGCCCTCTGCTTACCTTTACCCCGAAGTGCGTTGACCTGAGCCCGGGAGCGCAGGGGTCCGAGAGACGAGTGGGGGGACAGAGGCTACTGTTTACGTTCCTTCTTTTAAAAAAACTTGACACCGGCAAGCGAGCATTGTTTGTTTGGTTTGTGAACGTGTGTTCTGGATGTGGTTGTTGGGAGGAATAAGCAGATAACACGAGGCGAAAATGAGAATAGGAGGCAGATGCTTAGCTGATGGGTGTTTTAAAGCGGTTTCATGGTTTTAGAGTCGCTGGTTTATTAGTGAGTCTGTAGAGGAAGTTATTGATCATATACTTACCGGTGTGGATACTTACACTTCGGATATGTTGTTGTTAGAATGAGCGTCTTCTTCTGCCTAATGGTTTATTTTGGCGACTTTAAATGGCAATTGAACCAAGCACTATATTGAAGTCATTAGAGTAATAAAAAGTTTTATGTTAATGTGATGAGTTAAAACTTGATTTTTTAAAAGTCTTGATAAAAGCGTATGGTTTACAAAACATGCTCAGGAGCGCCCACTTTAGTTCCGACTGCCCGGGGAGGGTGGTGGTGGTGGATGTGCGTGTTAACCATTTAGGCTTATTTTAATAGCTTGTTTGAGGCTCACACAGGCAGTAGGAGACAGTTGACCCTGTTCTCATTGCTCGTCGCTGCCAGTTCATTAGGCTACAGTGTGGTTACTATGTGCAGTGAGTGAGACTAGTTGCCATTGGAGACCACTTTTGGAAAGACAGACAGTAAAATGAAACTGTTGAAGATTCAGTCACACAGGTTGATCTTGTAAGTGTCCATCTCTGTAGGTTTCGCATCCTTTTAGTGAATATTTAGTGTTTGTCTTTTTGTATTGTTGGCCTTTTAAGAAAGAGTTTTCTCTCTGTTCGTCTGTTTCAGTTTCCTGCACTACCATGACAGGCTTTGATTCAGATTTTTTGTTTTCTTGTTTTTAATAAGATTTATTTTGTTTTATGTATACGAGTGTTTTGTTCGCATGTATTGATGGTTGTATGCTGCCATGTAGGTGCTGGGATTCAAACTCCGGTCCTCTGCAAGAACAAGTGCTCATAACTGCTGAGCTATCTCTCTTGCTCCTTTTAAGTTTTAATGAATAAATCTAGTAAGCCATGAGTATATTACTTGCTTTGTACTGGCATATTATATGAAATCCAAATTCTTTTCACCTGAGCACTTGGTGCTTGCAGAGACAGATGGTATGACCACAGTTATTAGTAACTCAGGGATTGAGAAACTAAGAGTGTCTGGTGTCATGAGGGAAATGGTACTTCTAGTGTTTAAGGATATACCTTTTTTAAAATAGCGGGATAAGATATAAATGATTTTTAAAATCGGTTTGGATATTGTTCTCAAAGTAACTAGTAGTTACCAAGGAATCGCTCTGTGATTCTCCTTACTAAACACTTTATATTGCATATCAATCTGTTAACATGTTTAGGAAGGCTGCAACCTGCCATTGTACAGGTGAAGAAGGAACTAAAGTTTAGTTTGGCTGAGTAATTTTCCCAGGTTCACTCAGGTTGAAAATGGCAGGAGAAAGAGTCACACTCATGTCAGACCCCAAACTTAGTTATTTATAAGTGAACATTAAGTGACTTGTTTTTGTCATTTCCTTTCTAGGATGAATCGTTGTTGTAAATTAACAAGAACTATCTATATTTTCAACTGTTCTATGTAACTACTATTTGTGAAAGTGAATTTGGGTATTTTATTTACTTATTTGTATGTATGTGTCGGTCAGAGGACAGCCAATAGGAGTCAGTTTTCTCCTTCTACCAAGTGGGTTCCAGGAGTTGAACATCAGGTCACTTTACCTGATGAGCCATCTCTCCAGGATGTGAAAGTGAAATTAAGAGTTCTAATGTCCGGGGCTGGAGAGATAGCTCAGTGGTTAAGAGCACTGGCTGCTCTCCCAGAGGTTCTGAGTTCAATTCCCAGCACCCACACAGCAGCTCACAACTGTTTGATGCCATCTTCTGGTGTGCAGTATGCATAATAAATAAATCTTTTTTTTTTTTTTTTTTTTTTTTTTGGTTTTTCGAGACAGGGTTTCTCTGTGTAGCTTTGCGCCTTTCCTGGAGCTCACTTGGTAGCCCAGGCTGGCCTCGAACTCACAGAGATCCGCCTGGCTCTGCCTCCCGAGTGCTGGGATTAAAGGCGTGCGCCACCAACGCCCGGCTTAAATAAATCTTTAAAAAGAAAAAAAAGAGTTCTAATGTCCATGTTTGTAAAGTTTTGAATTGGAAGTCTTTTTGAAATTTTCACAATTTAAATTTGACTTGAAATAACACTGGGAGGGAGGGATAGTTTCATGATAAATATTGTAAAGTGAAGGTGACAAAAAGCTTGTAAACAACTCTTCTACCTGCTTAGTTACTGCAGGATAGTTCTTTTACAAAAGGTTTATTTTTGTGCGTATGAGTGTTTTGAGTGTATGCATGTATGTATGTGCGCCATGTGCATGCTGTGCCATGGAGGCCAGAGAGAGCACTGGATGGAACTGGTGTTAGGAATGGCTGTAAGCTTCCTTGTAGGTACTGAGAGCTGAACCTAGGTCCTCTGCCAGAACAGCCAAGTACTCTTTACTCTTTATTTGTCCGGTTCCTGTACATTATTTCCTAAATTAAAGAAATGCATTTTTTTAATTACAAAGGAAACAAGCATTTGTTATTGTTGTTGTTGTTTTCTTGGTGTGTGTGTGTGTGTGTGTGTGTGTGTGTGTGTGTGTGTGTGTGTAGGTAGGTAGGTAGGTGTGCCCGTTTCATGGTGTAATTATGGAGGTCAGGAGACGGTTTGTGGGAGCTGGTTCTCTACTTTCAGTCTCTACTTCAACCTTGTGAGTCTTGTGTACCACACTCAGGTTGTTAGCTTTAGTAACAAGCACCTTTACCTGCTGAGCCAACCCCATGACTTCACAAATTGATATTGTAAGTATCCATTAATAAGAGTGCATACTGTATGAATGGAGAGAGAGTTCAGCTTTAAGAGTGCCTACTATAGGGCTGGAGAGATGACTCAATAGTTAAGGTCACTAGCTGCTCTTCCAGAGGACCTGAGATCTAGTCCCAGCACCCACATGTCAGCTCACAACTGTTTGTAACTTCAGTTCCGGGAATCCTTTGCTCTCTTCTACCTCCAAGGGCACCAGGTATGCATGTGCTGCACAGACATAGATGCAGGCCAAGTACCTATACACATTAAGAAAAAAAATTCAAGTGCATTCATTTTTGTTCTTTCATATTCTTCTGGAAGACCCTAGTTTACTTCCCAGCATCCATGTCAGATGTCTCACAACTGCCTTTAATGCCAGTTTCAAGGGATCCAACATACTCTCCCCTCTGTGTACCAACACACATAGCTGACATACAGATACACACACACACATACACGTAAAGAAAAGAATAAATAAAGTCTTTTTAAAGAATCTGTTAGTACTATCTCTTATTTAAAAAAAATACTTATTTTCTTAAAATATTCTATGAAAAATGATTATTAGTAAATTAATCACAGAAACTGAATGTTACTCTTAAAAATAGCATGTTGCGCCGGGCGGTGGTGGCGCACGCCTTTAATCCCAGCACTCGGGAGGCAGAGCCAGGTGGATCTCTGTGAGTTCAAGGCCAGCCTGGACTACCAA